ATGTAAAAAAAAAAAAAAAATTATTATATGTTGCAGCTTCTGAGCATTGTTACTGGTGTATAATAAAACTACTTTGCCCCAAGAGTGTGCCAAAAAATGAAGATGACCCACAGTCAAAGGGGTAGCACATGGAAAAATGCCAAAATAAGCATTTACACAAACATTTCCTTATAAAAAAGGAACTCACCTGAGTGTGTTCTGAGGTGGCCGGTAAGTGCATCTCTCCTTCGACAGGCGTAGCTGCAGAATGGACACTTAAAGGGTTTCTCCCCAGAATGTAATTTAATGTGACGCAAAAGATTCCCCTTTTGAGTGAATGATGCTCCACACTGGTTGCAGTGGAAAGGGCGCTCCCCTGGATAGAAAAACAAATTAATTCCACTTAGTAACAACTATTAGCAGCTACACCCCATAAACTTGATATTAGGAAAGCTGTGTTGTGCCTTTAAACCGAACTAGCAATCACATTTTCACTTCATTTTCAGCCTTCAAAATCAAAAACATTTGCTACAATTCTCTTACAATGAGATACAGTTGCCTTCAGTGAAATCCTACAGTGGACAAATCCTAATGTAGACAAAGGTTATCTCAAATATTGCAGATAATAACAAGAGCGAATGCAGGACTGGCGAACAGCCATACAGGTAATAAGAAGGTGCAGTAGAGAGCCCAGGGATTAGGGACTCCTGGGGTGCTTGAGAAAGCAACTAAAAGGTAGGTGTAGACACCACTGAGTGCTATAGTCTGTGCCGTAGGGGGAGCTTGAATAGTCACAGGTATACTTTAATATCAAGTTTCCCCGTTTGTTTTCAAATAAACATTTTGAGTTACTACAGAGCTTACCTCAATTTTTATGACTTTCACATGTTTGGTTTTCCCTATTTTGTTATTGTTTTAAACATAGAGATTTGTAGCTTTGGTCAGTAGAGAGTGCTCAATGGCTCACTGAAATTACTCAGAGAATTCATGGTTGTGGGCAGATTGGCTGAACCAAGCTTGCATTGTGGAATAAGGGGACGTTTTTGTCTAGGGGACTGGAGTAAAGCACTTATACTTTAGTTGATCCCCGCTCCCTCCAGGTTTGTAGACCGGTCCTTACAGCCTCTCCTCCCCTTTGCTCTGGCAGTCTAAAGACCGCTGACGTTATCACATCTAATGCAGGTTTCATAGACCTCCATACATAGAGGGTGCTGAGGGATATTCCACAGAGCGGAAACAGAGAAAAGGCGCACACTGACTGTGAGGGGAGCGGGGTTCAGGTAGATAAAATTGCTTTAGACCAGTTTAGAAAAAAACAGGCACCTTACCCTTGCAGTGCAGAGACAGCCCCACTGCAAGCGTAATTTTTTTGGTTTTCCCGGAAATAAGCTTTAAAGAAGAGCATCAATACCCTCACCTATAATTCTATATGGAGATTTTGAAAAAATAATTGTTGGCCCCCATTAAGGACTGCAGCTGAGAAAGACTTGGTTGGCTCAACCTCAAAGAGAGTTTATGCTGATATTTAAATAATCCACCAGTTTCATAAAAGCTATTAATTGTTCCAATATTTTTATTTTGTGAGAAAAAAAAATATTTTCAAAGTTGACTTATTTCAGAGAAACAGTTGACTTTCACAATAGTAATTTTTACCACATAAAATATTGTACACAATTTCAGAACTTGCACTAAACTGATGAATAGACTTTATATGAAAAAGTAACACAGTCTCTTTAAAGCAGGGGTCTCAAACTCAATTTAGTTGGGGGCCAACGAACAAACACACACATTTTTTAGTCCCGTGGGGGCCGCTACTATATACGGTACCAGTTTTAATGTATGCACATGTTACAAGCGGCAACTGTCACCGATTCAAATTAATGATCGGGTGACAGCTGCTGCATGTAAACGCCTGCACACCGCATGTAATCATATGTGAAAGGATTACATGCAGTTAGGAATCAATCACCAGCCCTGGATACACAGTTGTATATCCAGGGATAGTGATTGATTATTGTAACTGCATGTAATCATATCACATACGATTACATGCGTTATGCAGGCGTGTACATGCAGCGGCTGTCACCAGATCATTAACTTGAATGTGACAGTTGCTGCATGCAAACGCCAAATTTGGCATTCCTGCTGCAGGAAAATGCAAGTTTGTGACACAGGAATCCCTAAATCGCACCTGAAATATAGGGGACCCCCACCCCATTCCAACCCCC